CGAGGGCTCCCGGGCTGCCAGAGGGATGTCTGACTGCCAGCTTAGGCCCAATCCCCCCAGGGAGAGGGCCTAAGCCAGCAGGTGGTCATCCCCTGAGGGGTCCCAGACTGCAAGAGGGCACAGGCCAGGCTGAGGGACCCCACCCCCACCCCCCCGAGTGCACGAATTTTTGTGCACCAGGCCTCTAGTATATTTAATAATAATAATAAAGAAATACAGATTGGTAGTCACAAAATAGTAACAGGGTTGTAAAGTATAGCATAATTAATAATATTGTAATACTATGTACAGTGTCAAGTGGGTACTTGGAATATCACCGGGACCACTTTGTAAATTTTTATGTTGGGAAAATTATAACCAGCAATAAAAGTCATATTAGTGGTTCCAAATGATTGAAATCTAACTGAAGTTTAATTTGTTCATGTTACAAGGAAGCCTGGGGTCAAGTTGATTTCAGAAGAGACAGGATCCAGGTATTCAATGAGGTCTTTGACTCTCCTCTTTCTGTTATAATTCTATCTGGGCAACTTTCTCTCTTTTCCTGTATCTCTCTTTGTTCCTTTATAGTTTTTCATTGTGTCTCTCTGCATCTTTGTCTGTCTGTCTCTGCATCCCTTTGTCTCTCGCTCTTTCACTACATCTCTGTCTCTATTTCTAGCTACACCTCTGTCACTATTTACCTGCATCTCTTGATCTCTCTGTGTTTCTATTTGAATCTCTACTTTTTGCATCTCTCTTATCACCACACAACTTATCTGTGTTTCTGTGTAGGTATGTGACTGCCTGTTTCTGTTGTATTTCTAAAATGTCTACCAAAGTTTGAACAATTTTAGGAAAGATTCTGGTTGACTGCACCTTAGTAACATGCACACCTCTCAAAAACATCATCATGTACATGGATGCAGACAGCCTTCCGTTCACCCCCTTTAGTAGGAACATGGATTGGACCTTTCAGATCTTGGTGATCCTGTAATGACTGCCCAGTGTGAAGGTGTCTACACCACCCATGCAGCACCCCAGCCTCCAACCCCATCACAGTAGAGTGGCATAAGGGGCAGATAGTTTCTGTTGACCCCAGGAGATGAATGGCAGAGTTTCCTCTGCTCCCGGGGCTCATTGCTGGAAGTGCTAACTCACACTCATTTCACCTCTTGTCTCCTGCCTAGTCACCTAATGGCACTGCTGAGCTGGAATTCTGCAAGGATAGAGCTTTCTTTGTCCGTGGATATAGTGACCTGTTGATTCCTGTTGATATTCTCTTTCCAGGTGTTAAATAGGTCCCTGCACACTGAGGCTCCCTTGATATTGGCCAGCACAGAAAGCTGGTCTTCATCTCACTCTCTGAGTTTGGTAAACAGCCAGGTGGCTGAGAGCTTGTCTTTGAAGTAATCAAAGGTCTCCCCTCCTCCCTGCTCCCACACCCACTCATTGGACCATTTTCTTCTGTACCCCAGGCTACAATGCAGGTCACCAGACATGGACACTGTGAATTTGTGGGAAGATACACTCAGGAGGACTCTGTTACCCAAGGTCATAGTCTAAATCTGCCCAGAACAAAATGCTGAGTGGTCAGAGGTTTTGTGCTGGTTTTGTCATCTTCTTCAAGGTGGACATTGTCATTTAGCAAAGGAGTCAAGAGGGGTGACACTTAGAGAAATGGGGAGCACTTGTGTGGGTGTCTAGGGAGCCCTTATTCTCTATATGTAGCACTTTGCTTTTGACGCTGTAAAGACAAGAGGCAGGGCTGTATATTGAACCTGACTCAGAGTTTAGGGAGACAATGAGATCTGACTTTTCTAGTTGAAACATAAGCTCTCTTATAAGGCTGGTGGGTGGTAGGGTATATTCTAGGGCATTCTTATGGTTCCACACTGCCACACTGGCCCCATGCTGGGAGATTCTTTTTAATAGAGTCTTCTTCCCTTCCAGTGACAGCTTCATAGTAACAAGTATTTTTGTTTGCATCAGAGTTCATTGGGTAATATAATCTTTAACTAATAATTTAATAAAAATAACATTACATCCTTTATAAACAACTTTATAACAAAAAGAGCTCCATCTTAGTAGGCATATATCTTAGAGAAATGTATGGGTGTGCGAGAGAAAATCCTGCTGGTATTTACCCTGTGGCTTTATCCTCCATCACATCAGTCACTATGTTTTTTAGGGACAGTGACAGTCATCAACGTTCCATAAGCATATGGACATTTCCCAGATTACTCTGTGGGTGGTTCGTGTGGAATCATGTGACTAGTACCAGCCAATAGAACTTGAAAGTGGGTGTTAGCTGTGTCTACTTTGTCTTTTTCTGAAAGCCATTGTTGAGGTGATGGTGTACAAGATGTTGGAAACTCCATAAGCCAAGTCCCTTGAATGTCTGTAGAATTGAATCCTCTTTATTGAGTTAAGGCACTGAGATTAAATTTCTACTGCAGGTTAATATTTTACTGCAACATAACCTTTCCTCTGACCACCTGGGCATGTTTAACTTAAGGAACAGAGTTCATAAGTTGTTAGTTGATAGGGTTAGTCAGTTGAGTTAATGGAATTTAAGAGATGATACATTTTTTAAAAAGATTTACTACTTGGTTTTCTCTGACCCCCAAAATTGTGTATTCCCAACAACTAGAACAAGTGCTTCTGTAGAGATGCTATTCTGAACCACCTAGTCTCTTCCCTTCAGTAATGAAGGATCTATTCCCTCAGTTGCTGGCTGACCGTCCTCAGCTCTCAACCCTCCTCCAGAGTTGCCTTAGGTGAGAATGGCTGCCTCATCCGATTTCAGCTCCTTTCCCAGGGGAACTCTCCAGTGACTGCTCAGTGTTGGGCTATCGAGGTTCCGAACCTCACCCTAATTTGGGTATACTTTGAAGGGCTCTTGTAGCTTTAGAAATCCCTCAAGATTTGGATAAGGAATTTTTTTTTAGACTGTATAATAGTCCAACTTCTAAAACTCTGCTTTAAATCATGAGTCACCTAACACCATCCTTCTTTCAGTTACTATTTTAATTTACATCAACTTATTTTTGTATCTTCACCCCTTAAATATGGCCTTGTTGGGAGATGAAGGTATTGACGACATCACTGCTCTTCCTTTCTCCTCTCCTATATGCTTCCACTTGCCAAATTGAGGCACCTGCACTTTTAAAAAATATTGTCAAAATTGAAAATATTAACATTCTTCTGTAGCAATGATTGTCTTGGGGTTTGTTCATAGTTTATTAAAAAAGTTGAAGAAGGAAAGGAAGACAAGATGGGGGCGGAATAGGTGGACGCATCCCAAGGCTTGTCCCAGAGCAAATAGAATGAGCAGCTGAAAAGAATAACATCCACCCTGAATTGGTGAAGGAGACTCAGCTGGTGAGACAGTTTGCAGCTGGGAAGGGCAGAGTTCCCCTGGAAAGGTAAAAACCAGGGATCTGGGAAGGAAAGTTTGCCAGATCTCTGAGCCCAGAGGGTCAGAGGGAAAGTGTGTGGCACCCAGCCATGCCCCTTGGGACAGGCACAGCTGCTGACTGGGGAAAGGAAATCCACAGGACTCTTGGCGCCAGGGAATTTGAGATCTGGGTTCCATAATTACAGAAGACTGAGCCCAGATGGGGCAGCCTGAAGCGCTGACCAGACCATGCAGTGCCGGTAGGAGCGGAGCTCACAGAGACTCAGTCTTCCCCATTTCTGCGGCTGGCGTTTTTTGTTTTTTGATTTTTTTTTTCACTGAACCCTGTTCATAGGACATTTTGGATACAGACACTCACTCATGCTGAGGAGCAGGAGAAGGTGTGGACGAATGGAATCTGGGGAGAGGCTGGGGAAAGAAGGGGGTCCAGGAGAGGTGGCAGCAAGTTGAGTGCTGAGTCACACCTGGGCAGCCATTTTCTCCTGAGGATATAGCCCCTCCCTCCAGTCCCCAGGCAAGGAATACAGCCACACCCAGATTCCACCCTGAATGGTACGAAGGATTAAAAAATCTGATTAGTCCCTGGGAGTTAACAGGGTCTGGCCTATAGACAGGCCTTCAGTCCCAGCAACAACAACAAAAAAATCACAGACATTCCAGAAAACTGGGATCTTAAGCCAGCCATAGGAATGACATTTCAATTTTTCATTTATATTTTTTTTTATTATTTTGTAAGGTTTATTTTTTGCTTTTTTCTTTGTTTTCCGACTGGGCTGAGGGGACCCTCCTCCCCGAGTGCACAAATTTTTGTACACTGGGTCTCTAGTCCTAATAAAAAACAAAAAGGGTAATTAACCATACCTCCGCTATGCTTCCCATTGGCTAATCAGGGCAATATGCAAATTAACTTCCAAGAAAGATGGCGGTTAATTTGCATACATAGGCGCCAAGCCACGGACTGAGGCATTAGGCCTGGGCAGGGGCAGAGCCAGCCAGCAATTGTTGATGGTAGCAGTGGCAGGGAGCTGGGGGTGCCCTGCCCAGGCCTAATGCCTCAATCAGAGGCGTTAGGCCTGGCCCTGGGCGGAGCCAGCCAGTGATCATTGATGGCAGTGGCAACAGGGAGCTGGGGAGCTGGGGGTGCCCAGCCCAGGCCTAATGACTTGGCCAGAGGTGTTAGGCCTGGGCAGGGGCAGAGCCAGCCAGCAATTGTTGATGGTGGCAGCGGCAGGGAGCTGGGGGTCCCCTGCCCAGGCCTAATGCCTCTGACCAGGGCGTAGGCCTAGGCAGGGCAGGAGCCAGCCAGCGATCGTTGATGGGGGTGGTGGCAGGGAGCTGGGGGTGCCCTGC